ATTAGTATTAAAGTTTTATTGTAATTACTTTAAAATACTTAAAAAGTGTAATCCAAAGGTTATTTTTTATGATTAATTTACTTATTTTAATGAATGAGATATTTATAGAAACTATTTGTATTAAATTTAAATAAGGGAAAAGTTCAGAAAATTAAAGAGTTTGTTTGATTTTGAATTTTCAAGTTTTTAAACTTTTTTTTATTGAATAAGTTGTTGAACTTTTTTTTTATGTTGAATGATTAATTCGTCGCATTTTTTTAAATGATTAAATAAATGAACTTTTTAGAAATTGAATACTTAAATTATTTTAACTCAAAAAAACTACTTGTATTGTTGTAGAAGTAAGAGAATCAAAAGAATTTTGATTATTTTTTTTGGCCTTGTCATTGATGTCCCTCTTTTTGATCAATTTTTTTTTGTTTTATTAATCTTCTTTTTTGATTTGTCTATATATATTCTACTATATTGTAGTACAAGAGAGACAATCGAAAAACAAAAAGCAGATAAAAAGAAAATATGCATTTATAAATTATTTTAATGTTTTATTTATGTAAAGACCCATAATCCGATTTTTATCTTAACCTCAAATCGTTAATAAATTTCAACACAGCGGAAGTCTAAAAATTTCTTCTGACCATACAGCAATTGCTTAAACCCACAACTGACTACTCTTCATCAAGACAAGTCACGACTAGACTTCATTTCAAGTCTATCCTCTTCACGCGTAGACTGGCGCTACGCCCTCTCTTTGCCCTTGCTGCTATTCCCATAAGTGTAGTGACCTGGTTGCAGTTTTTTTTTTTTGAAAAAAAAACGAGTTTGGTGAGCCTAAGGCCCAGTGAATAAACAGTTTACACACCATTCATAAACTACCGAAAACATGAGGGGGAAAGAACTATATCACACAGCATTGTCTGGCGAACTTCACACAACATGTTCGCTCTTACGGCTTAACAAGCTTCACACATCGTGCTTGTTTTCAGGATTGAATCCTTAGTACAGTCCCCCCCCAAGTTTCCCACACAGCATTTTATCACAGAAAACACGTTCACACAACAAACATATTTGCAAAATACAGCAAGCTTGCAATTTAACAGAAACAGATATGCAACCCTTAAAAAAACATCACGTAAACTCACAGTGATTGATAGCTTCGAACGTTCGTCTGATGAACGTCACACACACAACTCTTGAGTATCGATTCTCTGCTTTCGTCTTCTAGCTCTTCAATACCTCTATTTGCTAGTAAGGAAACCAATCTCTAGCTCATCACCTCTATATATACTCTTCGTAACCTCCTTACGAATTAATTACCACTTAATTGGTCGGTTACAAGGCAATTAATACCATTTTAAAAACCCAATTTATTTCTTTATAGCGGTTACGATTCTAGGCCATAAATAGTTCTAACGGCCAAAATGTAAAAGCGACTAGTTCTAGAAAAGGACCAGAATTAATACCATCGAGTTCCATTCTCAACACATCGTGCTCTTACAGGCAGAGCTCGGATACAGAGCTTCCTTCTCATGCAGCGCACCCGTATACAGAGTACATATACAGAGCCTCTGCATAGCACATGCAGAGCCTCTGGGTTACTTGTAAGACCCAAGTTCTTTTAACTAGATAAAGCGCTCTTAACCTTTCTTCACGTCCAAAGCCTTCTTTTGTTGTTGCCTTCGTCCTCTATATGATAAGAGCTCTTCATGACTAGAGCTCATCTGGTTAGTCCAGATCCGTAACAACAAAACAGACAAAAAATTTTAACACCGGTTCAACCTCATACAAAAAAAATTACGTAAGATTCTCAAAAACCTCAAATAATATTTTAAGTTATTACAAACTCCCCCCTTAACAAAATTTCGTCCTCGAAATTTGCTTTACGTAAATAAATTAGGGTATTTTTTTCCCATCTCACTCTCTGTGTCTCACGTTGCTTCTGGTCCCTTATGATGTTTCCATTGGACTTTGACCAGAGGGATTTCTTTATTCCTCAACTTCTTCACCTTTCTATCCAAGATAGCTTCTGGCCTTTCTACGTAGCTCAGAGTCTGATCCACCTCTATATCTTTCAGAGCTACCTTAGAGCTCTCGTCCGCCAAACACTTTCTCAGAGTTGACACATGAAATTTGCTATGGATGCCTTGAAGCTCTTCAGGCAATTCCAGCTTATATGCAACCTCACCCACACGTGCTGTTATTCGATAAGGGCCAATATAACGAGGCTCAGCTTTCCTCGTTTCCCAAATCTTATTATGCCCTTCCAAGGCGAGACTTTCAACATTACTCTGTCTTCAACTTGAAACTCTATTGGTTTTCGCCTTTTGTCGGTATTTGTCTATCTTGAGCTATTTTCAGCCTTTCCCGAATCTGCTGAATTTTGTCAGCCATTTTCTACACAATTTCTGGGCCCGAAAGTTTCTTTTCGCCCACTTCCTTCCAGCACAGGAGCGTTCAACACTTCCTCCCATACAAAGCTTCATATGGTGCGACTTGGATACTCGCATGATAGCTGTTGTTATAGGAGAATTCTATTAAGGGAAGATGACTTTCCCATGACCCTGCGAAGTCAATAGCACACACCCGCAACATGTCTTCCAACGTTTGGATGGTCCTTTCACTCTGACCATTTGTCTGCGGGTGGTATACTATACTAAGCTTTATTTGAGAACCCAACTCTCTTTGGAAGCTTCGCTATAATGTACATGTAAATCAACTGTCTCTGTCAGACACTATTGATAATGGAACCCCATGTCAGGTTACAATCTCATCTATGTACAACTTGGCTAACCTGTCCATTGAGTAAGTCTCTCTAATAGGCAGAAAGTGGGTAGACTTGGTGAGTCTGTCCACTATTACCCATATCGCATCTAAACC